AATATCCTCAGGGATATTCCGGGAGAGAGGTGCCCGGGAGTACCGGTCACCAGGGACACGAGAACGTGTAGTTCTCGCGCGTTCCTCAGCTCCTAAGCCAGGAGCTGGATCCATCATAGCCGTTTGGGCTATGATACGCTGAGTAGCTGCTTGAGCAGCTGCTTTATCATGTGCCCGGTTATTACCGGGCTCAAGCGTCTTACCTGACGCTTGATTGGAAGGGACTGAAAACAGTTCCTTCATCCTCAAGGACATCCTACTCATGGATGCCCTGACTCGGTTGAACACTGTGTTCAGCCGCTCCGTAGCCTCCATGGCTTCGGCTAGGACAATCTCAGCATTGTCCTTCAGAGTAATAAACTCTGAGTACTCCTGACAGAGTACTACGATTTCACTACCTCTGATAATGAAGTCTTCCATGGTATCTCCTGCAGTAGGAGATACCTGTCCAGAGTCACTGCGCGACTCTGATCTATGGGTTATTCCCCTTGGGGAATAACGTCCCTGAGTGGCTGTGATAGAAGCCACTCTCAGTGGGGTATGACTGCCCTGGTGGGCAGTCCCTGACGCTCCGGCCAATCGGCTGGGGCTCAGTCCCTGAGGGGCAGTGCGGGGACACACGCCTCCTCTGCTAGGCGACTGCTCCTGACTGGGTGCAGTCTGTGATCCATATGCAGTCGCATGTGGATCATCCGGATGCTCCGAGGGGAGCATTCATGGGCTCTGTTGGGGGTCAACAGAGGGAGACGGGGAATTTGACAAATCCCCCGTAGTGAGCCCCGTAGTGGGCTCGCTGTCTTCAATATCAGCTGCAGACAGCTCTTCTGCCCGCATTCTCCTGGGACCACAGTGGTGACTCATCATGGTCTATGTATTTATTTGTAGAACTACAAATAAATAGCGGTTTTTGACTTCTAGTTCAAAATCCGTGGTACTGCCATGCTGTTTGGCACGTTGAATACCAGATACAAATCACACAACGGGTTGTGTGATAAATATCAGAACTTTCAGTTTTTAGAGAGTTCTAACCCGTGGTACTTCTGTGCAATGTAATTGCCCGTTGAATACCAAATACTACCATACAACTATGTTGTCCGGGAATACCAAATTTTCGGGAGAAAGTTAAAAAAGATATAACAGGTTTATATCCTTAAATCACACAATACTAACTGAACTCTTATATATTGAGTAAGGTAGTACACGGTGTAAAGTAAAAAGATATATGCTGGCACCTAATGCGCCGGCATGCTAAATACAGACCATTGTGGACACTTATGGTGTCCACACTAATAATAGTTACATCTATGATGTAGCGCATATAACTAATATACATTAGTTATTCTACATGTATTATATTACAATTATATACATATATCTATATAACAGCTTATAGTCGTTACAGAATCCCCTCGGTGTCAATATTTAATGCTTTTGGCACGAATGCACATCCTGGACAGTTACCATGACTCCGAATCGCATCTCACTCAGCCATCACACAGACCTGGGAGGATGCTGTAACCAGAAAATGGTACAAATAATTCAAGTCCTTCAATGGTCTGTTGATTGCCAATTATATAGACTGGAAAGATTATCCTTATTATTGATCACTCACCAAGTATACTTGTGTTACATAATTCAGCCTTCCAATATAATTTAAGATTAGGGAAAAGCGATGATGGATGGAGAAAATTGCAATCCTGATATTGTATTGAGAATGTTATTCATTGTCTTGATAAGGAGATGAAGTTCCTTGGGTGGATTTACTTTTAGTGTCGATAGATATTCGCAATTATGCCGCCGCTCGGAAAGCTATTAATGTTTACCAAACTGGGGGCGGAGAGAATCAGTGTGCCTTCAATAAGCCCACGATTTCAAAATGGAGCGAAAATTACTTGCGCACGGAATGGCTCTTATCATGTAAATGTATATATGATAGATATGTTTAAACTTTAAGGTAGCCTCGAGTTTGGCGGTGTGACCAAAAGAGCCATTCAGGCTTGATTTACCAGCGATCTACATCCTTCTACATCTCCCGCCAATCATCGAAAGCCTGCCATTCCCAATGGGATGGACGGGACATTCCTTCGCATCATATAGAACAGAAGTCAAGCTTTCGAAATTCCTTCCCCCTTACCACTCACCTAGACCTTAATGCTATATTTGGTGACTAACTTGGAGTATGGATAAAGAATTGGCCAAGTCATCAAGATAGTTTGATATGTAGCCGCATATTCCGAGTATGGAAAGGCAATTTCACTTATGCTCCACTTGCTGATTATACCACTGCCAATTTCTAACAGAGAATTTTATTCTTAAAGCTGTAGGTTTGAGGATATTAGCAAGGGGGGAATTCCACGTACACCGGTGCCTTCAGCTTCTCGATAAGGCCCGAGAGACATAAACTAGCCTCCCTATCAACCATACATTGATGGTCGCGGTAATCTTTGGTAACTCTCAAGATCGCTATTTCAGGTGCGCGACTGCGGTGCAGTGCTTCTTTAATAGACACTTACTAGATAGAGAGCTGTGGGGTGTTCTCTCCGGTTAAGCAGTTCGCAGATCCCATATCATCAAACAGAGCCGGCTTCTCGTGTTTCCACTAATTCCTCGAATAAGCATCATGGAGTATTTTAGTATGCTCCCGTTATCATTCCTATGATCTCCTACATATTTATATGAATCTCAAGGTTTCTCGTCAAACGGAAGCATTTTATTGACACAGAAGCGTCTAAGTCAACCCCCTGCAAGTGGGCGCGCAGTTATAATTAGCCCATTTACCTGAGCTACATATACCTTGGATAAAACAAATTCAAGTTTTCCTACGCTCAACCTCGTCCATTTCTTCGCACTCCCTTTATCTCAAGAGAGATCAGATCCTCGATCTGCAATGTCGGGCTTTGGTGATCTTCTTCAGCAATTTATTGTCACTTTTCGGGATTATCGAACAACGAGCTTCAATTGTGGTGTGTCTAATTGTATAATAAAAAATACCATTGCTTACGATTTCTTCACAGTTGCCGCTACAGGGTTGCTAGTTTATGATATTTGCCTGACATTTGGAGACGAAATAGACTTGATATGGCGGTGAGAAAATCCACCACTTCAAATTACCCATCTAATGCTATTATTTCAAGACAAAAGTGGTCCACTATAAAAGTTGTTCATATATTTGTTCGATATTATGCGTTGGGCTACCTATCGGTAAACTCCTATGGTACATACGCTGAGCTCGGTCTACCCCGGTACATCAATCTGACATACTACGAAAGACGCGATTAATACAAATCTAACGGGAAGCGTATGTCCTTGATCATTTCTGTCTATGTGTTCTTCTGACTTCAAACTGGTGGTAGTTGTGAGTAGCAGCCAGTATTAAACTGACTAATTGTATTTATTCAATCGCGCCAGTTGTTCACGATTCTATCCATTCAACATCTGGTGAGCACATAGCTGGTCATATATACCTGCTTCCATTCATGTGTCTATTACTAGGGGAGCTGCAGTTGTTGCTCCTGCTGCAGATATTGTCCTCCTTTTGCGCATATATGCGTTATATCGACAAAATAAAAAGAGTGCGTTCCTTGGATGTTCATATCTCAAAATACTAGTCGTTAACCTTAACCCGTGACAGTTGGGGCGCTCCTAGTAGTACTGTGGATAAGTAAGTTCCTTCAAAGATTAAGAATTTTAACTACTCCTATGCCGCAACATCATTTCAGTTGAAACTACGGTATAGTCTACATATCTGCGGTCATCAAACCTGCTGATCATCTGGGCCTGAATAGACAATATTCGCGTTGGTAGGAGTCTCATTTGAAGGCACTGCCGAGGATCCAGACCCACTACCTGGAATTCTACCAGGATGCTTTCCGCACAACGGATTTCGCGACTTTCTAGTTTTAAATACTGGGTGAGTATTTGGATTCATTCTTGACAGCATAGCACTGATCGCTAGTTCTTGCGAAGCGCTGCATTTGTTCCGATACAAGGTAACTATTGTGGCCAAAAGGTTGTAGGAGATACTTATCTTATTTCCTAGCCTTTTATCTTGGGTTGACTCTATATATTTTGTATGGGAGATTTCGAACAGTGGGATTATTAACGGGCATGACTCCTTTACTTAATACCTTCTTTCGGTAAGCCATTTCGTGACGGCTGAATGTCTTAATAACCTGTATTTTTAGAGATGGAGCTTTCTATTGCGTAGCGTGAGTATTATTGTTACTAAAGAACCTTTAATGCCATTGAGCTTCATATCTTCATTGGGTAGGATCCTCTGTTAGTGTTTAATACTCATTCTGAAAGAATATTCACTTACCTAAAAAACCATACAGTTATGTATATCATCAATCTTCTTTTTATAAAATTCCAAACGCAGTCTCCCTTGGAATCCATCGGGCAGAGGTGAGTTCACGTCTTATATCATTAATATTGTCCCGTGAAATAATCCCGCGATAGTTGGGAAGTGGCCATTCTGGCGATCACTGTGAGTCTCGAGTCTATGCAGCTCCGGCATTACTGACATCGCCCAGGCGGGAAGGATGGTTCTGAACCTCAGAGGCAGCGTACGACAACCTGATGATGATTGGACAACAGAAAATTCCACTACGGCTCGAACGGATGAGACCCATGACATAGAACTTCGAATCGCACGGCCGCGGCCGGCGTACACGACTGTGATAGACATTGGACTTACGACGGAATGACCTTTATACCCTATAATTGGTTTATGATGCTTTTCTTTTGCGTCTTCGTGTCATATATATTGGATTGATACTGTACTATCATCTGTGCTATATATACCCGATCCCCATGTATGCTGTCTCCACCATGTATTATAATAAGAGTTAGAAGTTCTAACTCGGGCTGATGCGATGAGAAGAAAGGCATAGCTTTCCGCAGTTTGGACAAAATTGAGGATCACCATGAACACAGACAATTCTTCAGAAGTTTGGGTTGTAAGGGACTGACAAAAAAGGGGAATATTATACAGCTGAACGTCCATGATGGTGTAATGCTCACATCGCTGTCTTTCACACGGCAGCTCGGGGTTTAATTCCCCGTCGTGGAATTTAAGGCATTCCCACAGTTTCCCCACTCGATCTAGAGTGGAGTGGATCATGTACCTTTTTCCTTCAATTCAGTTACCAAGAGATTAGATATGAAACAATTCCGTCCGGCGCATACATCACAAGTGCAGTAAGGAAGAGATACGCATCACGATTGAGCTTTGGGTCTTCTGTGAATTGCCGTTCCATTGATATTTTCGGTTCCCCTGTCTCAAAGTAGAACCAGCGATGCTATTTATTGATTATTTATATATTATTTAATTCAAGATGAATGATGTTCGTAGTAAACGCAGCTGATATATGGAAAATACAGAGCTCAATCGCAAGACAGACCTCCCGAATATCTGAAGCTTGAAAGCTGGCACCGAGGATCTACATGAGGGACTCTGTTTATTGCATCCGGACCTGCAGAACGTCAGGGCACCCTGGCTCCACCTGTTCTCATCTATTTAAAGTTCCAATCATAGCTGCACTTCCAAACACCGTTTCATCACCGCTGAGGGGCCATCCTGATCTGCGCAGCTGAACTCTCTAAATCTCCTGGAACGAATAGATCGGTGTCAAAAAGCGCTGAGAATCAGTTTTCTGTCCGTCTTTCCAAAGCAACGATATACTTTCTTGAACAGATCTTGTCCAAAAATGTCGCAGATGTTACTGGGTTTATTGCCTCCAAAATATTCTCCTGACCTTCATTTATTCCGTGAACCATACGGCACGTATGAATCCTTTTAGCATTTAAAAACGAGTTATGCTAAGATCCTTTGAGAGAAATGTCCTTCTACTGGAAGTGTTGAACCCAACACAGGAGATTTCTGATGAAACGAATTCCATGTCAGAGGACACAATTCATTCGTATGTCACCAGCATATCTCAGCCAGTTTGGATATATTCCGCTTATATTCGTACCTTGGTGCTGCTCCTAAAAACAAGGCCCCGATATAGTACAGCCGCCATAGAAGCCGCCACCTAAAACGGCGTGACCTTTTCGTTTGTGCACGGGGGCAAATCTTATAGCAAGGTTTCTCATTCAGATTTATACGATAAGCACCTGTCAGAGACTAGTAATAACATCTGTCAGTACGCTGATTATCTGACGCGAATCGCTGCGAATTCTCAAATTTTATGGAAAGGTATAAAGAAATTTCCACATTAGACCCGAGAAATGATAACCCCGCTACCGAGGTGGTAGCACGTAATTAATGAATAAATTAATGATTTGAAGCCTATTCTGTCTACAAGTTAAGAGGAGATAAAATGCATTTTATATAGCTCAATAATAATGAAAAAAAGTCTATCCTGGGCGATCAAGTCCCCTGATATCATGACTGAGCTAAGACCATGCATGGTTGGTCGGAGCACGGTAACATATAATGATGCAGGAGTGTGAATAACTTCCAGCATAATATTATATGTAAATATGAATTTTTAGCTGTATGAAAAATCATATATCCACGGCGATTACTACATTATCCATACATGTGTGCCCATATGACTCCGTACTGTAAGCTGTACTATTAGCGGCAGTCCACTAGTTCCCTCACATTTTCTGGACGACGGATACTCTATGTGCCCAACAGCGAATCAAGTGCCTTTCAAGTGATGCAGATCCCAAAACAAGGTCGGAAGACGGATAAGGATCCGAACATACACTAGCTAGGATCCATTGATACCAGAAGCTCAGATTCTGTCCATCTAGCTAGGTTGATGTAGTAAGTAACCACTAGCATCGGTAGTGAATTCAGGGTATTTTAGATGTATCATCAGCTCACAGAGCTGTACTTCGTACCTAAGATCGCTGTGCCACCGTGTATCAATGCGTACTGTCCGTCTCGGTACTCCTGATCTTCTCTATTCATTGTCGAGATTATCGTTAGTCGGAAGCATTAGAATTTAGTACGCACCAATGATATTCCAGATCATAAGTAACATTTTGCAAAAGAAGCATCACATACGAGATCCTAAAGTACTTCGTTTCGGGATGATGACTTACGCCAGACTAATTGGGTAGAAGGAGCGAGTAGTGGCATCCATTCTGAATCTGTAACATGTTGGAACTTCAGAGTACTTCATCGAAGGGATTTGGGAAACATTGTGATGATAAAACTGGCAAGCAAACTGGGAGGGCGGCACAACAGGATCGATATACAAGTAGAACTGTACTCGAATTCGATCAGAAAACCGGTCTTGAACGTCCCATGATCCATCCCGAGCCACTGTGCTGAGGAATAATATCGAGGCCAGACATTCAATCTGCATTCAAGGCGAAATCACACTGCAGAATAATATTAGACGAACGAAACCGGCATTGAACGTACAATTTAACAACTCACCTTAGGTGGCAAGATCATGAACAAGATCAGACACCAGGACTCAGTCTGAGAGCAAGAGGCGATACGCATAGGTTAAGGAAGTCACCCACCTGACACCCACCCATCTATCCAAACAGAAATCAAATACTACCAGATTTTCCAATGAATCTGAAGAATATAGTTAATAAATTAATCATAATCTCTGGCACCGGCATTCCAGCTCCAAGTCGAGGACTTATCCACCACATCAAATCAATATGCAAAATAAACTTGAGTCTAATATCAATCAATGAACAACAACAACAATGGAATTACAAGAAAACAGGATCCGAAAGAGAATTTTATGAAAAGCAAGTGCAAGAAAAGGTAAAAGAGGTGCATACATTTAGGGGGAATGGTCCGTTGGATTTGGAATGGTATACTTGTGGCCGTCGTAAGTGAAACGTTAGAGGATATGAATAAAGCGGGCGGGAGAGGGAAGAAGAGAACGAGAAAAGAGGATAAACATCAAGAGAATATAAGAGGGATATAGTAGGGATAACAGCGTAACAAAGGGTAATGCATAGATGATGATGGGTATAAAATAGAGCAAATCAAATCAAATCATATGGAATGAATAAAAGAATAGAAAGAAGGAAGGAAGGGACGAAGGTCATAAATACAGTAGAGTAGGGTCCGCGAGAAGGATGAGAAGGAAGGGATGAAAGGATATTCAGTGCATGATGAAAGGTTCGAAAGCGGGATGGAGATGAGAGAGCAAGTATGCATATGGGGCGTGAAATGAAGGGAAGGAAGAAAAGGACGGAATGTATCTAGTGGAATGGGATGGAGGGATGCATAGATGGTAGTGAGGATGGAGGGTAGGAATAGCGGGCAGAGGGCAGACTTGAGGACGAGGATGGAGATAGGGGTCCTCGACGGAACATGACAGGCGGAAACGCGAGACACCAGCCCACGGACCACGGAATGCAATAAAAAGAAGGATGCGCCCAACAAGGTCAACGCCGACTTAGACGCACGGATGATCGACAAGGGCTGGGATAGGGAATGACTGGGATAGGGATAGAGTTAAGGACCAAGGACCACGGACCACGCCAAGCCAACAGAGATGGGAAACCGTATTTCGCAATACCGCTCCCATACTCAAGCTTGAGTTTGAGTTGCTATCGATGTTGACATAGTATAGCCGCAATACACCTACATAACCAACCGATGGGCATATGCTCATCTAACCACACAAAAAAAGAGAGGAAGAAAGAAACCGAGTCACTCACCATCCACACCACGTATCCGACGTGCGCGTACTCGTCCGAAACGCAACCTAAGCGCAAATCTTCATCTCCAAACAAGGGATAGGAATAGGGATATCGATCTTGACCAGAAACCGTATTTCACGATCCACGATCCAAAGCCCATACTCAAGTTTGAGCTCGAGGCGCGAATTGATCACATTGTCTCATTGATATCGACATATGGCCAACCGCGATTCGATTTGCTTATTGAATTCGACATAGTATGGCCATGATATCGAATACACGTACGCCGTCAACCTAGAATAACCAACCGATAAGTATACGCTCATCTAACCATACCACACACAAAGAAAGAAAGGCACTCACAATAGCATACTACAACGCCTTATCTGCCCGCCATCCACCATCCGTCACCCAAGTTTCAAACCCATCCTCACCACCTTCACCCACATCCCATCCCATCTTATCAGCCTCAGCCATCCACCCATCCCTCCTCAGCCGCGAAACCACCTTCAGCTCAAAGCACTGTATTAAACCTTCACTTCTCCCCCTCCGCAAACGCCTTCAAGCCAAGCCTCGAAACGCGCCTGATCCGCCCAAGCTTGTCGACACTAGCCGCTTCCTTTGTTGTTCGGGCTTGTTTTGTTCGGGGTGGGATTGGCGTTCGGGGTGGGATTGGCGTTCGGGGTAGTAGTGGCGGGATGGGTATTTGCGGGATTGGAATGGGTATTGTTAGAGCTGCCAGCAACGCCGATGATTTTATCTTTTAAGGTGGAATTCCCGTGATTCCCATTCCCGCCCGGGAACGAATTCCCCTCACCTTCCCCCGTCCTCACAGCCTCGCTGTTCCCACAGCCTCGCTGCTCTCCCCCGCTGCCGTCCCAAATCCAAAACTTCTCTCACTAGTCCCCACATCATCCGTCGACGCCCCAAACGGCATCGGACCAGGCATGCCAACAACCTCCGCACTCAGCCCTTCCCCATATAATACCCCAAGATCGCGTCCTTCAACCCTCACATCCCTCATCATAACCTCTCCCTCCAGTGGCGCAGCTTGAGAATTCCCACCAGGCATAATCGGACTCTTCATAATCCCCACCCGCCTACTCCTCGTCTTGCTATTGGACGACGACGCGGTAGCAGATGAGGTTCCGCGCGGAGGGTGCACGGGGAGGATATCGGCGCAGGAGAAGCCGTCGAATGTGTGGGGCGGGAGGTCGTGTTTGGCGCAGAGGAACTGTGGGGGGGTAAAGAGTCAGTATTGCTTTTAATGGGGAGGAGGATAAGGAGGAGAGGATAATTGAAATAGATGGGAAAGAGGAAACAAGGATAGAAAGAAGAAGATATGAAGGATGGATGGAGCGAAACGAAACGAAACCCTTCGTCCGTTATCCGTCTTTCAAAGCATCATGACCAAGTCAAGTCAAGTCAAGCATCCCG